TGAGAAGCTAACGCCACACCAGCTGCGAATTGAAAATGACGACAATGGAAATCTATGGAAATCTCATCTTCTGGCCCTGCAAACCCCTAGTTGGCATGCGGCCCGACCCAACTCACTCAGCATTCTTGCACCTTTGACATCGTTGATATTCGTTGTTTATGTCGTGCTACAAACAATAAATGGATACAAATGGCCTTTGTCAACACATCCGAGGATCATCATCTGAAGGATCTTGTTGGTCAACTCCTGGCCATGCACGGCTTCCAGAGGCCATCGACCCTAGCCTTGTTGCAGTCTGGAACCTCTTCAAAATTCACCATAATGCAATAATCGGCCAACCCCAGCGAGAGCATGGGGAGCGCGGGCACTGCGGCTTCCCTCGGCCCTTTGCAGCCTTTTGGTAGGTACAAGCAAACGAGAAAGTATGCCTACAGTCACGGTGCTTTTCTGCAAAGCACCGCTGCTGTCAAAGTCACGCCTAAGTCATGCCTAAGGGGTTTTCCTGCATGCCACCGCGATCATTGCAGCACTACCAAGAAGGAAAAAACTCACCAAGACAGGAAAAACTAGACAACCCAATGTCAGAAGTATTGCAAAGCATGATCGACCAAATCAGGCCACAAGGCAAGCATCCAGAGTTCCCAATGGCACCACTGAATCCAAACAACCACATACACGCACACACACTTGCTCAGAAACATCTTATCGAATTACTGATGTGGAATGCATCGCACGTGCAAAAACACTTCAGTTAAACCTGACAGGAATGGTTTGATGATTGGAAGTGAGAAACTGTGCGAGGAAATCTTTCTACGTCCTTGCTCGAAGGATTTACTTGTTCTCATGCAGCTCAGTCAGATTGCGAAAACCGTACAGTAGTTTGAAAACTGTTGGAAAAACGACATGCCGGTTCTTGGCTTAGCCGGTTGCCATTGACGAAAAACTGGAAAATTGCAGGTACGTTTTCACAGGAACATTGCAGCGTCTTTGTTGGCCGCTGACTGCCATGTTCCCCAGCGGCCCCCTGCTGAATTGGAAAATCCAGTTCATTATTGAAAAAACGAGTCAGTAGAAACGAAACAGCCAAACCATCGCCTAGAAGTTTTACATCTTTTCAGATGATCCACACACACACACCCTCCCGCAGGAGGGTGAAAAATTAAGGTCCGGACAGTGAAATGAAAATGAAAATGAAGGGAAATGAAGATGAGGTGAAGATGAAAATGAGATGAAAGTTACTTAACCAGGACGCGAAGAGGGGAACGCAACGCAGAGGGAAAGAGAAAACACCAACACAAGGAAACCTGGCCCACCACGGGCAAACCCTGAAAAGGCAAGGAAAAAGAAAAGCGAAGGCAGACGGAAACGGAAAAAGACCAGCGGAGGGGGGGGAAGGACGGACGCGCCTGAACCAACCTACCACAGCGAACCTACGCCTACCTCAGCACGCGCAGAACCCAACCTACCTGGAGAGAGGAGAACGCAGGAACACATGAAATAAGGGACCCATGGGGAACTAGTTAATGAAAAGATGCATCCACATTGCATGCAAGATTCGCGATAAGGCTCAAAGGCCCTCGGCATTCAAGTCACAACCCTCTGGACGGCTTACGTGTTCAACCCCTGAATTAGGTGCACAATTTCAACCTCACCGAGAAACCAAAAAAAGAAAGATACCACACCTTGAAAGCATGTCCTGTTACCTGATCATGTGCAAATGGCTGCGGAGTGGCTGTCTCTTGAAACAACAGGAAGGTTGTTGTCGCAGCTTAAGACTATGCATTGGCTGTCCAATGAAAATGGTGAGGCCAGGAAAAGCGGCCAGCTGTTCAACACATCGACATCGACAAATGAGAAAAGGAAAAGGGTGAGGCCAAGCACAGCGGCCAGCGGTTCAACACAACGACATCGACGGGTGAGACAAGGAAAAAAGGCCGGCTGTTCACTTTACTTAAACGAATTACTAATTCAAAAGTGTAAATTCAGAAATCGTTTTACCGTCAATTGTTAGCCTAGAAAGGCTTTCCCCGAAGGGCTCATACCACCTTGACGGATATCGGCATGAGTGACACACTTGCTCAGAAACATCTTATCGAATTACTGATGCGGAATGCATCGCACGTGCAAAAACACTTCAGTTAAATCTGACAGGAATGGTTTGATGATTGGAAGTGAGAAACTGTGCGAGGAAATCTTTCTACGTCCTTGCTCGAAGGATTTACTTGTTCTGATGCAGCTCAGTCAGATTGCGAAAACCGTACAGTAGTTTGAAAACTGTTGGAAAAACGACATGCCGGTTCTTGGCTTAGCCGGTTGCCATTGACGAAAAACTGGAAAATTGCAGGTACGTTTTCACAGGAACATTGCCGCGTCTTCGTTGGCCGCTGACTGCCATGTTCCCCAGCGGCCCCCTGCTGAATTGGAAAATCCAGTTCATTATTGAAAAAACGAGTCAGTAGAAACGAAACAGCCAAACCATCGCTTAGAAGTTTTACATCTTTTCAGATGATCCACACACTAGACAAGAATGGATCATTATATGATCCGGCAGGAACTGAATCCTGAAACATGCAGATTAGATACGAAACAAAGAAATTAACGATGCAACCTACGAATAATAGAAGTTCTCCTGAATGATTTCCATGCCCAAGAACGTTGTCAATAAAATACATCGGCGACGCGGTTTTGACAAAATAATCCAAATACATCGGCGACATGGTTAGGCGAAATATTCCCGAAATTCAAAAATACTGTCGGCGACATGGTTCGGCGAAAATACTGAGGAAGGTTCTGATGCAGCTGAACTAATCGTAAATGACCAACATTGATTCCAGATTGCGACAACAGTGCAGCAACATGACAGCTTGTTCAACAGTTCAAACTGAGTTCTGCAGGTACACATCAGGACGTCTCCCGATGCATCACCAGAGAATGTGGGCGTCTTCGTTGGCAGTGATCCCACAGACTCTGTCACTGCCCCCTGCTTACTAGGTAGAAACGAAATCGAAGTTTTACATCTTTACAGATGAGACACACACACACACCCCGCAGTAGCGGGGTTTGATTTTTGGAAGAGCTTGGCGCGTGGGTGCAGCAATGCACAAGTTGATGTGAGTCTGTAAAAAGCTAATGTACATACCGGCGGCGATCACTTCATTCAGAAGAGAAATTCGGAGCTTGTTGAAGGATTTGGATGGCATCGTGGAAGCTCATGTGTTCAACCATCGCCCAAGTCTCGTTGAGTTCCCCAGATGCCGTAGCAGCCTTCAAAGTATCGGATAGATGTTTTGCTAAATCCTGGATCCGGGTGGCTAGGCCAGGTTCATCTGCAGGAGAGATCGTCTCAATGGGAACATTGTGAAAAGGATTGTGCCCGTGTACTAGAGGAATTTCAAAATGATGGCGCCAGTAGTCCGCAGTGCGTAAAGACCACTCCCAATTGCCGGAGAGACCGTAGAAATAATGTTCAGGATCACGACATTTGGAGATTCCCGATGTCGGAATCTCTTCAATGAATAACTCCCTGGTGTTGTTTGAATGAGTAAAGATCTTGAAGTGAATCTGGTGAACCACACGTGAGGAGAAACGCGCGTGATGAAGAGCCATGTAAGTTGAGCCATCCTGTGTTGGGAAAGGTACAGCAGGTTGAGGTGGAGCCGAATATGTGTCCATTGGCGTCGAATTGCCTGGGCCATTGGGTGTAGTCACCGCTTCCAAAGATGCCGAAGGGGTCGAGGTCGTAAGAGCAGGAGCTTCAATAGTACTTGCATCAGGATGTGTAACTGGGTTTCCACGGTTCGAAGCCGAAGGCCATCCCAAGCCCTTGTTCTCCATGGGTGAGACGGTCACGCTAAGGAAGTGAAAAAACCAAAAGCTGAGTGAACAATAAGGGCCAAACGGGATCGATGGAGAAGCCGTAAATAAACGAGGTACAAACGTAGGCGAGGTCATAAAATGAAAGAAGAAGTGAATACCCGACAAAACATGTTCGCACTCAAAGGCTTATCAAGATGGTGAAGAAATCAAATTGTCTTTTCCCGCAATCTGGTCAACGTGTAACGTCATGGTAGGATCACACCCTTGTGGCATTGAAGTCGCAATACAAAAGGTTGGGAGGTACCTGGGACCAGCCAAGTAGATTCGATGTAATTGTACTGCCGGATGCGCCATTCAGGTCGGTATTCCTCCAAAAGTTGAACTATGGTCCAATCCATTGGTACTTGGAAAACATCTCCCTGAAGATCAGCATAGCGAAATTCCAAATCGGAGGGTGCCATAAGAATGTCCCATTGGGTGCATAATCTTGTGATCAATGCGGTGCGTAAATCTCGAAATGGAAAGATGCCGGCCTCGATTGGTTGATAATGACGTGCCCAGGTAAAAAGAGCTTCAAGTTCTCCAGTACTGACGTTTCTGAAATTTGAGTTTGCAAGAACACTGTATAGGGCATGATCAGGTTCGCTGCGATGTGTCAGTTCCTGTAAAGGAGAGTCATCCACCAGAACTAAAACGGGTCTGGGTGGAGGTGGATCAATGTCTCCTGGAAGGCATCCTGGTCCAGCGATCCAGGCAGCACGTCTAGGGCCTTCGGGTGTGTCAACAGTTGATGTAGCACGATATGGATGAGGGCGAGAAGAAGATGGGGCCATGGCGTCGTACTAAGGTAGTTGAGCCAAAGCTGCGAAGTCACCTGTAAAGACGAAGAGGAATAACGTGAAAATCATTGAAAGGAGTACTGTACCACGTTGAATACACTTGTAATTCATAAAGAGTCGGTCCTCCTTCCTGTCGCAAATCGGAGTGATGTGTTAAACGCTGGAGTCTGACATATCCATTGGGCCCGGTTCGTCAGGTGGTAGTAGTCGATGAGGGTGAGGTTCGATTGTGGTAGAGACATGAGGGTGAAGAATTCTGCGAATCGGTTCCGAAGGTGAGGATGGTGGTGTAGATCTCCATGGTGGCCAGGATAAAGATGTGGTCGTACCTTGTGAATGATGTTGAGCAGAGCGTCCCCAGCAGGATTGGAGAATATGAAGTTGATCAGGTATGGCTTCAAACGGTTGCGAAACATGTACATTGGTATGTTCAGGATGTGGAAGAACAGGAAAGGTAGTTGCCGTGGATGAAGAAGGCGAAGGAACGGGTACATCATAGTACTGTCGCCATTGGTTGGCGGTAGTGCGTAGTATGGCCCGGTCATGCGTGAGATGCAGATTCTCCAAGAAGGTTTCCAAAGGCTTCCAAGT